AAAATAGAATTACCTCTTTGTCCATGAAAGTAAGTTTCTGAACTTTTCCCTGTCCAGATTTAAAATTTCTTATACTGTCCATTTCAGTTAATAAGACAATAATTGTCCAGTAACGTTGATGCAAAGTCAAATTGTTGATGAGACTTGTTGATTCCATTAGTATTTATCTAACATGTAAAAAAAATGAAGTTAATAATAAAAAAATTAAAAATAATGCAAAATATTTTTAAAAAGAAATAAAAGAAAACATTAAAAATAATTAAAAATTTGTAAAAGAGTACCTGTTATTTCTTCTGAAGATTTGAAAATCTCTTTATATACAATATTTTTTGTATAAGGACCTTGAATTGAAGCATATACATTAAAAATAATTAAAAAAAATATGAACTTTGTTAGTAAAAAAAACATGTTAATAATCAACTAATTTCACTTATTTAAACATATGTTCATACCTGCTGATTGCTTGAAAGTATTGAAAATCTCTTTATATACAATATTTTTTGTATAAGAACTTTGAGTTGCAGCATATTTATCTGGTATAATAAGAAATTTTGTTTGACTCATTGATATACCTCTTGATAATGATTGTTTGACCTTGTGACTTGTTGATTGTCATTGCAAAGCATAAACGTATAGGAAATTGATTCCTCTTAAATTTGAAAGGTAGGGTTTCATCATCACTTGTACACAATGGAATTCGAGGTATCATAACTGTTTTCCCACAGAATTGGCCGGTATAAATTTGAGCAATGATAACATTATTTTTAAATGATTTGCAAATCATTCGTGTCCCATTACATAAACCATTTGATGGATCTAAATTTCTTAATAACATTATGGGACAATTTTCCTTAAGAATAAGTCGATGAGGAGGAAGTCCGTTCGGCGTCAATGAGTTGAGAAATTCCACTTGATAAAGATTTGAAGTATCATCAGTCACATTATCAAAACTGAAGTAAACAACCTCATTTCCTCAAAAACATTTAATAAGTTTTTTATTGAGTTTATCAACATACTCATTTTTTGTTGCTAATATAGCTCTTTCCATAATATATTCTGAAGATCCAGCATTTTCATGTAGACTTGGAAATATTGTGTTTATTAATAAATCTTCAGAATTCTCATCATTTGAATATTTTATTATCATGTCATTTGGAATATGAACTAATCCATCTTCAGTTTCTTCTTCTTCTCCATTACCAATTCTAAGTATGAATTCACAAAATAAAGGATCTAATCTTGCTCTCATATTTTCCTTTAATCTGAAAACTTCCATGTCTGGCCATAAATATGATTTTACCAAACTATAATTAATAGTTTCCAATCTTTATGCACGTCTGACCACTGGTAATACTTGTCGAAAATCACCTCCAAATACAATAATTTTACCACCAAAGTATTTAGAGTTATTCATAATATCTCTGAGAGTCCTGTCTAAAGATTCAATTGCTGTACGTTTTACCATAGGTAATTCATCCCAAATTATAATACTTGATTTAATGAGCAACTGAGCAAGTCCACTTTGCTTAGGAATTGCACACATACGGCTTTCCGTTGAATTTATAGGAATTTTAAATCTTGAATGCGCTGTTCGACCTCCAGGCAAGTTTGATGCTGCTACTCCTGACGTAGCAGTTGCTAGTACTGCTATATGACCATTACTTCTCAAAGTTGCAAGTATAGCACGATATAAATATGTTTTTCCTGTACCTCCAGGACCATCAATAAAAAAACATGTCATTTTGATTTGTACTAACATGTTTAATAATCTCATCATATGCAATCCTCTGATCTACATTGAGGTAATGAATACTATTTATATCTTCAATAGTACTAACCACATTTATCTCTTCTATTACTTCTTTATTATGAAGATCGACATTACTTTCAATAGAGTCATTTTCTATAATTGGCATTTTTGGCAAATCATATTCATCAAGGGAACTCCCCATTCTTTCAAGACATAATTTGATATCTGATAATGTTTTCACCATGCATTCTTCATCAGTAATCATACTATTGTTTTGATAATCCTGAGACAAATCCTTATAGTAGTCAATCCATAATTGGCGAACATTAGTTGGCTCACAATAAATGAGAATAACAACAAATAATTGTCTGAATGCATATGGCATTTGATAAACGGATGCATCATTTAAACACTCTGTTATATAATTATCCATTTCAAGCAAACCATGTTTCTCTGCAGCTTCTTTGAATGTTGAACAATGTATTCCATTAACGTGTAACAAATCAGAAAAAGATGTAGGTCCGTACACATGATTTAACAAAATCCTCAGATAATATCTTTCGCCGTCTGTTGGATTTGTTGTGTTAATACGACCAATTTGCTCATATTTTTGTCTTCTCTTCCAACTTTTTTTTGTTTTATCCCACACATATTTCTCAGGAATTTCTCTGTATAAATATTTTCTTGCCTCTGAATCTATTTCGTTGAGATTGAAGAACTCTGTAAGCATAGTTTTTTTCTTTATATTTATTTTTAATATGTCAAGCAAATTCTGATTGTCCTTGTAGTAAATGGGTTGTTTTTCCTCTAAATGTAATTGTAAATTACATACTGATGGATACATCTCATTTAAATCAAATTCAAATATTCTCCATAGTGCTTCTTGTGCAGATACCCATCTTCCATCTTGATAATGTTGAATCTCATCAAAATTATTCTGTGCATTCTGTTGCGAAAATGAAACTGAAATTTTGTCATGCCCTTTGTAGATGTATTTGTAAATGTATTTCACTGCCTTGATTCCAGAACATATCTCAACATTTATATGACAATTATATCTAGATAATAGATATGGGTTATAAGGAACTACCCAACGATTATCTAAAATACAATTTCTCACTTTTACTTGTTGACCATCATTTCTTCTACGATAAATTGGATATGAGTCCTCACCAATTATTGTATGAGATGAGAAAGATCTAGGATATTTATTTTTGCATAATCCTTTCTTCATACAAAAATTATTTTTCTTCAAAAATCCACATGGACCATGCATCATATGTTTGACAACTAATTCATGCAATCTCTTATAATTTAATGGATCCGGTAGTTCGGCAGACACAATTCTATCAAATTGTATTGGAGTTGATATCTTAAATCCAGTCTTCAAAATAATTAAAAAATGTGCATGCGGAAGACCTCTTTTTTGAAATTCTATAACATATACATACGCAGCCACGCCTCCAAAAACAGATTTTTTAAATAATTGATCCTTTAAATCTTGCAATTTTGCCCTGAAAATACGTGTTGTTAAGTCCGGCCTATCTTGTGCAGATTGTCCTGGCTGCAACTCATGCTGAATTTCTTGCCAATCAGGATTACATGTAATGGTTATAAATAAATCAAGTTTTCCAAAACGTTGGACAAGAGCCATTGCGTCCAAATACCTACGCCTCATATCACGAGGTCCACCAATAAATGAGGGTGGAAGTATTATTTTTTGTCCGACATTATTGCTTAGTGTTTCACCAGCTGCCACACTATCAATGATTCCTTTATATAATTCCGATCGAATTGTATGTTGATTTTTTCTGAAAAAATCCAATCGACTTGTCTCAATTTTCACATACATGTCAACAACATATTGATGTAGTAATCTACCCGCATATAAAATAATAGATTTGATGTTTTCTCGAATTTGAAGTTTGTAACTATAATATTCTCTGCATGAAACTCTTTCCTTTGATGACTTCTGAATGCCTGTAAATTTTGAAATATATATTAATATTTGATAATATAATATAATTGGAATATAAAATTTTATTAAGAAAATAGTAATATATATAATAACTTACAATGTTCTTCTTGGATGAATAAATCTTCTTCGTTTGTAGGTCGACCCAATATTTGGATAGGCACAAAATTGTTACTTCTTTGAGACTTAGAAGTTCTATTGATATTTTGATGCCATCCAACTTCTCCATTGGGAAATAGAATAGGATATTGCAAAGGGTCATAACATCCAAAATAATGCTTGATCCTTCGATATGTACCAGAATGTGATGTCAAAACTATATCACGTTCTACTACACCTGTTGTATTATTTCCTTCAATCCATATTGCTGCAACTTGTGACATAGTAGGAGAATTATAAACTCTCTGATCTAATCGTACATCAGATGTAATACTTATTTCAAAATTTTCCAATATTCCTCTATTATTCAAAGATCTGAAGAATTGTGCATAAGGATTTATGGTAAGTATATCCATCAATTTATTTACTAATTCTTCAGAAAGATTCAAGTCTTCAATAGCATTCATTCTATTACTTGTTTCAGCATCAGTATCATAAATGTATAATTGAAAATAACATGGACCATTTGTTCCTTTTCCAATTGGTGGCAGGCTATGATAAATTTGTCCTTGAGCTCTAAATGTATACACGCCTTGTCTTGAATTTGCTAAATCTTTATCAATATGAGCTCCAAAAGATGTGAATGAGAATATACTATTATATGCTCTGATCTTACTTCTAAATTCCTTTGACTCGGATGAAGAAGACGTGAATAATTCAAAAAGTTGTTCAGGGACATCCGTTGTAGCAAGCAAAACTTCTCCATTGTAACAACAAAATGTTGGTGGCTCATATTGAAATTTTTTTGCATTACAATAGCAACATATACGCGGTTCTTGAAGAAGATGCATTTCTGATAAACTTGAATCGTAGTCTATAATCCCATCTATAATATTTGACACATCAAAATGTGTTTAAAATATATATAAACAAATATTTAAAAACAAATTATATATATATATGACTAAATAGTTGTAAGAAATTGACCTGTAAAATGTGATGATGACGGCATACAAGCAATTTCAAGATTTGAAAATTGCTTCCTTCTTTTGCTAGCAAGAACGATGGCTTGCTTTTTTTTGTTTCTTTTCTTCAGTAGACATTTTAGCATATTTATGTCTGTCATATTCTATTTGTCTTTGCCTTTTCATGTCAAATATATCTATAAAAAATATTAATAATATAGTTAATAGATGTGAATGATATAATAAAAAAGATCATTTTAATATAATAAATAAGATCATTTTAATATAATAAAAAAGATCATTTCAATTAGTGATTAACAAATTATTTTTAGGCCCACCTTTACATTTCTTAACATAAGGCAAATCTAATACATCTACTCTTATGATCGGGTCATCGGAAGACTGACGTTTTATGTGACCAACCATCTAAGGCAACTTTAATCTTATCTGACACTGGAGCTACTCCAATCTTTTCACGTATAAACTCATTTATGTGACCCAACCATCAAACGGAACATCTCTTGGTTAATTTGTTGACCTTTTCTTGATATTTTCCTTTGCTCTTTTCTCCGCAGTTTTTTTTAGCTGCACCATATGATTCACAGCTAATGTTTATACAACCTTTATAAGCTATTTCTTCCCTTTTAGCAGGAAGCTGATGAGGAAGATTTTGAAGGAGATGAGGATGACGATGAGGTTGGTAACTTATTTCATTGTGAACTAATCTGCCTTTCACTCATTTTTGTTAGAATATAGTAAAAGTTTATTGGATTCTATGAAATGTCATATTCCTGAATGAAATCTCTAGTTGTAGCCAAATGCAATGTTTGCCCAGCTAGAATTGCAGAACAATGTCAATAAATTCATTTCACCATTGATTGTTGTTTTATGTTTTGATAATGTATTACGATGTGGAGCTTATTTTTTTAACTTTGAAGAAACACGTTATGTAGGCCCAAACATGGATTGACCTTGTGTATTAAATATTAATGAGTTATTTAATTAGAGGTGTTTTGTTAGAATATAGTAAACGTTTGTTGGATTTTATGAAATGTCATATTCCTGATTGAAATTGCTAGTTGTAGCCAAATGCAATGATTGCCCGGCTAGAATTGCAGAACAATGTCAATAAATTCATTTCACCATTGACTGCTATTTTATGTTTTGATAATGTATTACGATGTGGAGCTTATTTTTTTCACTTTGAAGAAACACGTTATGTAGGATCAAACATGGATTGACCTTGTGTACTAAATATTTAAGAGTTATTTAATTAGAGGTGTTTTGGCATGTTAACTATATTTTTGGGCTTTCTTGTTTGTCTTTGGATGATACATGGGAAAATTTTCATAGTGAATTTCGTATTAAAACAATAACATTAGCTTAGTAGCAGAACATTAAAACTAACAGGGAAATATATTTAAGACGGCCGATTCTGTGTCACTTGAGATGCAAATTTTTTGTTTTTAAAATTTACACAACTTTTAATCAGGCTATCACAAAACCGTCATTTTTCATTGTTAATCCAGATTAATAAGAATAGCAAAATAAATTTACAAGTGACACAGAAACTTACAGTTACGAAAGAATACTTCAAATAGCTACGAAAGCAAAATGCACCTAAGAAAGAATGCTTTGAACAGTTACGAAAGTTCTGCATACCTCTAAAAGCTGAAATAGTAGAGTTCGTTTGAAGCCGAGGTTGTTGAGAACCAGCTCCGAAATACAAACCACGAAAGATCTAAACAAAAAACATATCAGAATAGTTTTAGAAATTGTAAAGATGACATAATCAATGGTTATCGTAAAAGAAGAAACCTGACGGAATAAAACAATAACAATAGCTAAGAAGTAGAACATTAAAACTAAAAGAAAATATATTTTAGGCAGCCGATTATGTGTCACTTGAGATGATTCACATATGATATTTATACAACCTTTATAACTATTTCTTCCCTTTTAGCAGGAAGCTGATGAGGAAGATATTGAAGAAGATGAGGATGACGATGAGGTTGGTAACTTATTTCAATGTGAACTAATCAGCCTTTTAATCATTTTTGTTAGAATATAGTAACAATTTGTTGGTATCAATGAAATGTCCTTGAATGAAATCCCTAATTGTAGCCAAATGAAATGATTGCCCAGCTAGAATTGCAGAACAATGTCAATAAATTCATTTCACCACTGACCGTTGTTTTATGTTTTGATAATGTATTACGATGTGGAGCTTATTTTTTTTCACTCTGAAGAAACACGTTATGTAGGCTCAAACACGGATTGACCTTGTGTATTAAATAATTATGAGTTATTTAATTAGAGGTTTTTTGCCGTGTTAACTGTATTTTTGTGCTTTCTTGTTTGTCTTTGGATGATACCTAGGAAAATCTATATTCTTTTTTTCGCCTTCTTCTTCTTCTCATCTCGGATCGGAAGTTGCTAGGGTATTGCGTGAATAAGAATTTCATTATTTCTTCGGATTCAATCTCCCTCTCCCTCACTTATGCATCGCGTGAAGGGCATTGCTCAATATGGCAAAAAGTTTGCGAAGTAAATACTCAAGAAGCTTAACAAAACAACCAGCACAAATTCATGTCCTGCTAAAACCAGTATAATTGATTCAGACTGTTCTTGAAGAAATCAAGATTTCCTCAACAATGCATGGACGGAACAGAACCAGACTCGTGAAAGAAGAAAGGGAAGCAGGTGAAAGCAATTGTATTAACTTAT